CACTGTATAACTATATATTGTATTCAGTCCTTTTTTTTAACGTCCCACTGCTGGGCACGGGCCTCCCTTCAATACGAGGGAGATCAGGCCATAGTCCACTACGCTGGCCAAGTGCGGGTTGGCGGACTTCACATGTCTTTCGAAAACTTGCTAAGTTCTCTCAGACATGCAGGTTTCTTCACGATGTTTTCCTTTACCGTAAGGCAAGTGGTAATCATGTTAGAAATGATTCGCACATGAAAATATCAGAGGTGCGAGACCCGGGATTTGAACCCGCATCACTCGGTTTCCCAAGCGAGAGCGTTACCACTGGGCTACCACTGCCTTTTAACTATATATGAATAACTATAATTATTATGAATAGATTGTAATATGTTGTTCGTACTATGTCAAAAACAAAAGCTATTGTAACTTTAGAAGTAGCTAGTATCACGATGTCAGTGTCATAGCTCGACGTGTGTATTTATCCCCCAATCATTTTCAAGTTTATGTCATTGTGGAGCTTTTATTAGATGTGAAGGTGTTGAACAATAAGCTATATTATGATAATCTACTCGATAAAGTAAAACGTAATTAAATATATTCTATACAAAATATTCTATAACAATCCTTCCAACTTTTTAGTGCAGATGCATTAAACAGATTTTCAGCAAAAAAAAAATTGTATGGCTGCTATCGCATTTCAAACTCCCTGACATATTTTTATTTTTTCACTGTAAAAATTTAATTATTTTTCAGATTTTTATATGTATAGATTTATAAAAAAAATAATATGTGTAGATAAAGTGGCTGTTGATTGTTTAAATTTATACTATACATAGTTTTAGTTTTATGCTTTCCGAAAATAGTTGTGTACATTTGTTGAAGTTCTGCCGATGCTATATTTCGGTTTGTCCGGACAATGGACTATTTCAACGCCATTTTCATGAAATCTACCTTTATTGTTTTATCAAATGTGTCGCTGAAACGAGAATTGTTTCGGGTTAATGTATTGTTGCAGAATTTTAGGATTATGTAGAATATTTTACAACTATGACAAAATTTTTGCCTTCACAATATATACAGACGGAATATATAAATCTAGTTAAATGAACTATTAATATATCCTTTACTAGCGACTCACCCTCGCTTCGCTCGGGTTCGTCCCTAGGTACGTTTTAGATTAAAATGGATATAGTATGTTATCCTTAAGAGATAGACATATGCCATTGCGGACTTTTGTATAGACCTTTATAAGATGCACAATTCCACCATACATTATTTTGTTATTCTCAAAGGGTTTAGGCAGCGTTTTCGTTGAAAGCTCCCAGACGTCTTATTTTTTCCGACACCTCCGACAAATATCGTTATATTTTAGCCAATGTATACAAAACTTAACAAATTATATACTAAAAGCTTTCTCTCTATCACTCTATTAAAAACTTATTAGGCATACATAGGGATATAGGGACAGAGAAAGCGACTTTGTTTTATACTATGTAGTGATGATTATGAATATTTAACTTATTTATTTAGTTCAATTGATTAATTATAATATATTAATACTCTGGCAATAAAAAAGGGATGAGCCCTTCTATCAGACTACTAATATAAGCGCAAAAATTTGTATGTGTATGTGTGTTTGTTAGTCCTTCACGCTGCAATGGCTGGATGTATTTACATGAAATTTATTACACATATAGATATATATACCTCCTGCATAGATGCAGAGTTATATGGGACTCGCCGGGTAGAATGGCCAGTAATACCAATTAAAATCCAACAGAACCTCTCTCATATATGGAGCATCGCAGGATCGCTTACGCACTCAAGATGAATAGACTACGACCTAAAGCAGCACATAATTTACAATACAATCTCTGTTAATAAAATCCAAAATAATGAAAGCCAAAACTTGAAATTCGAATTAGCTGTTACAGAGAAAACCACATTGAAAAGGTAATATCCAGAATAGAAATTTCTCAGATAGGTACTTAACTAGTCCATATTGTTAACCACAGGAAAAGCACATTTCTATATTAATACCTTATGTTGTTTTATATCATGATTTCATCTCTTAGAAGACGTCTTCATTGTGCTAAAATATGTATATTTATCTTCCTAGTAAAATGCTAAACAGGTACATACGTGTTACTGTAGCGTTGTCACAAGCGCTAGAACCTAGCACGTCACTGCAAATGCTTTGCATTTCGTTTAATTGAATTAGTGAAACTGACAAAGATAACTTCATTTTGGAGACACCTACACAATATTACAAAATACATATATACATAATAAAACTTCGTAATTCGAAGGAAAAATACCGTATTTTTGAAGTTTTACTTCTTATGGCACGTTTGGAAAAAATAATTATGAAAGTAAAATTGTTCTGTTACGACAAAGATGTATATTAACTTCTTACGTGCCATAAATACACACATACGTTTTTTATCTTTTAAAATGGTATAACATTTTAACATTGTTATTGTAATAATAAATGTAAAATTTTGTTAATGTATTTACTTGTTTATTAAATTGAATTTTTTTGGTCTACAATATTTTGGACAAACTCATTCATGTTTTCCTTACAATACACAACACTGGTAGAATGTATTGCATCTGTTAACGCAACTCTAAGTCATTAAAGAAAAAAAATGGGTGGTTGTCATATATACTCTAAAGTCTCCAAAAAAAGTCTACCAAGCGCCTAGCGTGACGAATAATCGATATCAAAACTAAAATCGACAAACGGCTAACATCCCTTAGTAACAACATCGCGTGTGGGGTGGAGTGTCTTTCGGTGAAGTAAGGTGTACTTGAATGAGACAGACTTTCGCATAAAACGATTATAGAACTATCAGTGCTAAATTCATGCATTAGACTATAGTAATTATATTTTGTGATATAAAGTGACATTTCATTTTCCTCGCCCGAATACCCATGTCTGACTAAAGTTGAAATATAGAATTAAATGATAAAATGGATCAACCTGACATCCCTTTATATGATTTCATGCCGTCATTAAAAATATTATATTAATATTTTATAATACATAAAATTATGTAACAAAAAGCTAAATAAAGACTTACAGAAAGTTTAAATATTAAATAATTGTTCGTTTGAGACCATACTTTGTTTCTTTGACATGTGTTAACTTTGCTTTTAACGGTTTTTATATATTTATTTTGCGCAAAAAATGTTGCAATTTTATCGTTTGCATCTAATCTTTCTTAGTATTTAGCTCCCAAAACAGTATATTCTATGAAGCTTTCTTTCTATACACAAAAGTATACTATTTACGATCCAGCTCAACATAGATTTTTTTTTAACGTTGGGAAATGCATTTACGCACGAGGTGTGGGACTCACCGGCGTAATAAAGCCAGTACTACCCACTAAAACCCAACAAAACCTTCTCCCGTCTTAATGGGGCGTCGCAGGATCGCTTACGCATTCAACTACGACGCCCCGATGGCAGGTCTGTCGAAGCAGACCACCACAATCATGGGGTTGCTCCAAGGACCACTCTGCTATCAAAGAAGTACCAGGAGCAACCCTCATGGTGCACCGCCCTCCGAAGAGGGCCACCTCCCACCACCCACCGGAGTGGGCCACCTCCCTGTGCGTTTCTTGGCTTCGCGCCCGGTTGGATTGCCGGGCACTACTGAGCCCCCCCACCACGACGAGGTGAACACACGTTGGGGGGGGGAAGCTCTACATAGAATAAGGCAAGTTGATTATACGTAATTTTATCTTTATTTGCGGAAAAACTAATGAGAAAGTATAATCAGCTTTATTTAATATTACAAAGAACTTTTAAATTATGCATATTTTCTTATTACTACGAGTAATATGCCATAGAAATACATTACCAGAACGAAATTCTTGTGCCAACTTTTATCGATTTTTCTATAATCTTCATTGATTTAAGGCACAGGTTACATATACTCTGTACTTATAACGTCTTTTTATCCCATAAAACCCATACCAAGGAGGTTAAATAATAAAATGTACATATTCTAAACTAGTATCGCATTTACTACTTTGTAGAATACTGAAAGTGCCAGACTAACCACCCCCCATCTAGACTTTCGGCGATATTTAAAAATATTAGTCAATACAACCTGCTAATACAAAACTTATTATAATACACTTAATGGGTACTAAGTATTGAATTTAATATTTCCAGCTTAGTATAGATAACATACAGCGTCATATTGTGTTCTAATATTTTCATTTTGTTTGCAGATTTCCTGAATATTTTCTAAAAATATAAAATTTAGTTTGAAAATAATATACTCTTCCCTCAAGGCATACTAAAGTCCGCAGTGTTTTAATATCAGATATATTATTATTTCTCCGTGGTTCCAGACTATGCTTTGTTTGAGCAACGTTCTCGGAAACAACTCTTGCATATATTATACGAAAATGAATGTTAATATAATAATTAGGTATATTTATTATCATAATATTTCATATTTATTTATATCTTAAAAGGTTGAAAATATACAATTTTTTTATTAGAAATGGGCTTACTCTTCTTCACCTGAGCTCAAAGGCATAGATAAGGTCTACGATAGAGCGAGTTTGCCTAGGAGAAGCTTGTTAACACGCACATTAAAGAGTTTCAGGTTATACGCACAGACAGATACAAATTCTAAAAGCTATAGATTCGGCCTCTGTATCGATAATAATGACTCTTTCAATAAGATTTTACAAAAAATTATTTAATGTACAGATTCGACTCAGAATTTTATTATATGTAAAGACATAATATTTTTATAGTTATTGCTAGAATAGACTAGAGATGATAAAATAAATAATATAAAAATGCATTGTAGTTGGTTTCTACGGTTAGATTTTTGCAGTTTAACAATACAGCGGCTGTGCGTCAGTTCTTTTTGGTTTCCTATTTCATATCCCGCACAAAGGCTTCTCGCGAATTTGATTGTCCTCGTCTAACAATACGGCGTAGCGTAGGCCATTTTTCAATTTATCTGGCGCGCATGGCGTGAGTATTTATCCAATTTTACTTTGAACAACTTCAAATTTAATTTCATCTGAATAATAAATAAAGTAAAAAGTTAATATTATTTTAAAATTGATATTTTAAATAAAAATTAAGTACACTATCGCGCAATGGGGAGTGTGTAACGTCATTACACTAAAAGTCGAATTAATGAAAAATGGCACGTCTAAACATTACAAATAAAGACAAGAACAGTTAGTTACTTGTAAATTTTCGTATGTAAGAGAAAGACAAAAACATTTTCCAGAATTGAAATTATTATAAAAGATTTAAAATTTCGAATAGTAGAATGTTTCAAATAAAACTATCTTTTCGGACTATTTCGTAATCATGGTCATGAGAGAGCCTAAGGTTTTAGACGTCTCAAAGGCGTTATATACAATTTATATATACTTATTACAGACAGTGGCTGTCTACCCACAATTTTACAAAAATGACATAAGTATTTTACAATATTTGTTGATTTTAATTTTAAACATTCAAAAAGTTATATTATGTTAACTTTGTTATATTTTCATAGAAAAACAAATAGGAGATTGAAATATTTGGATAATTTTAGTAAAAATCCATTTGCTTTCAAATCCCTTTTTATTTCTAAATCAATATTGACAACTATCAAAATATTGAAGTGTTCTATATTCGAACACATATATTACATTCCTCCAACACTAATTAAGGTGTAAATTAAATAATTAAATAAGGCTACTCCTTATAATTTATAGTTTTTCTACTTGTTCTAATTGGATAACGTCAATTATCCTGAGATTGCGTATTACCGACTGGTTCATGCACATCAGGTGGATCTACGTCAAAAAATTCATCATCGGAAACTTCATTATTTAAATCCGGTGTCACCTTCGCATCACCAACCTCTTTATCTGTGCCACAGGACGCGGTATCTTTTGTTTCTAAAATATGATTTTCATTTACGTAATCTCCAATGGAACTTATATCGTTATCCGATGATGAACTTCCTTTATACATCCATAATTGGTCGACATGCTTTTTTGTAAAAAGATTTAACTCCGGTATGTAAACTTTAAACATACAAGAACCTATACAACTATTAATAATACCTACTTTCCATGTGCTATATTGCTTATTGCCAATAGAATAATAATGTTTTACAAGTACCTTATCACCAACTACAAATTTTACATTTCTTTTACCTTTAAATTGCTTACTTTGATGCATCTGAGCATTACTAACATTATCTCTAGCAACAGATGACGAAGGAAAACAAACAGGTAGTTTTGTACAATCACGAATTAAATAAATTAAAATTATTAACACCATCTCCATCGTCATTAGTACCTAAAAAGTTATTTCTATTGATTTTTATTTGACACATTTTCTTTAAATGTCCTTTCTTATTACAATTCTGACATGTGTAATTTATGAATCTGCAATTTTCTTTTATATGATTTTTATAACCACACACATCACATTGCCGTTGGGTAGCAGTACTATTATCACTGTTTCTCGCTTGCCGACGTTGCAAAGCGAAAACTGCCTGACTTTGCATCATAGATTGATCTCGATCATGATGTTGGGTAGACTGTATCGCTTGTCGTGCGCATCGTACGCTTTGGGCTAGCTCTAATGCCTTATCAAAAGTTAACAGTTCTATGCTTTCAGCAAATAATTTTTCTTTCTCTTTTATATTTTCCAATCCTAATACAAATCTGTCACGTAAAGCATTTTCCAATTCTAGTTTGAAACCACAGAATTGCGACAATCTACGTACCCGTGCTGCCCACTCTACTAAATCCTCACCTGGATGTTGTTCCGCCTTATAAAACGTATATCGTTCGGCAAAGGTACACTTCTTTGCAGAAAAATGATTATTTAATTTTTGTATTAGCTGCTTGAATGGAATTATATCCAAATCGTCCGGAAAAAACTAAATCTTTTACGATGCGGTAGGTATTCTCAGCTAGAGATGTAAGCAAAATGGCCCGTCGTCTCACACCAGTTTTGTCAGTCTCATCAAGTAAATTATTTGCTACACAATATTGTATGAATCGACTTTTAAAAATGCTCCAATCTTGTATATGATGGTCAAAAAAAACATTACCACCAAACGTTGAACCGATATTACGTTCTGCCATTATTTATTCTTTGTTTAGTCACCAAATTATGCTAAACACAATAAATCAATCCTCGTGAACTCGATAATCCTCGTCGCCAATGAAATATTTGGATAATTTTAGTAAAAATCCATTTGCTTTCAAATCCCTTTTTATTTCTAAATCAATATTGACAACTATCAAAATATTGAAGTGTTCTATATTCGAACACATATATTACAGAGATTGAGTTTTCCTCAGCGTTTTTTGGAGACTTTTTTTTTAAAAAAAACCACGTATACCTATATACATAAACTTTAAAAGCAAAACCGTATCTAAATAAAAAAAATGCTCCAAATCATTAGCTGTATCCGAGATACACGATATATATAACAAATACATATAATCAATAGACATATAATAAATATATACATGTATATACAAGAATTGCTCATTTAATATTATATTTCACATCATTCTTATTCAAATACAAAGGGTAAAGATATAGAACTTTTCTTAAGCACAGGTATTTTATTGTATTATGGAGTACTCATATTAATCTCTCCCGGACGAGCGCGTTTCACTCGCTCTGAGCGTAACGAGCGACGTCTTCTGCCCGAGGACCCGTAAAATTAATTAAATGAAATGCGAAGGATTATTCCGTAAGTATTGCAGCGACGTGCTAAGCTCAGCCTTTTGTTAGAACTTAACTATATGTGATCTTGGTATTATATTTTACGTACGCTAAATAAAAAGTAATAAAGTCGAAATAGTAAATTAGTGTTATATAAAAAATATAGTTTTGAAGCTAATATACAAGATAAATCCATTTTTTTTTAATTATTGTTTGTTTATCATTTTATTAACGCAATACTCAAAAACCCGGGAAGAATTCATAAGTGTAGCTCTAATTTTATTTCAATAGACCAATTAAATCCAAACTTACACTTTGCTTGAACTTACCGTTTTGGAACTTTTCTTTACAGAATACATATTTTATTTGTGTTGTATAGGATTTAGAAATTTGTGTGCATTATATATATAATGCACACACATTTCTAAATATATATATATATATATATATATATATATATATATATATATATATATATACATATATATATATATATATATAATTGGTCACGTAAAACTAAATAACGTGTGAGTTATGTACGTATCTACTTTGTGCTAAAGCGTCCATTCTCACGGTGAGTAGCCAATTGCGCAGGAAATATTATAATGCACAAGTTTATGAACAAACACAAGTGCACTCTTTATTCTTTCTACTTTCACATTCCAATAGGACTACTATTGATATGGCCGGCTCCATACACTAAAAAATAAAAACTTAAAAAGAAAATAAAAAATGGCTTTTAGGCATTGAAAAGTAAGCAATAACTTTACGGGGGGTTTTATTTACTATTGATAACTTATCAGATATTTTCGAAGAGCAGTTCGATGATACCAAATTGATGTATTATCATCGGAAATACAAGAACTTACAGGGTTTCAAGTCGATGTGACAATCATTTAGTAGTAGGTAAAATTATCATCCCTTACTTTTCCACCCTTAGGGATGGTATTTTTTCTTCAAATTAATAGGAGCTAAAGTGGATGTTCTCCTCTTAAATAAAAAAGGCATTTTCCAAATCGGTTAATAATTGGTACAGTTCTAGGATAACAAATATCAAAAAAATACAACCGAATGAAAAGCACTTTAGCTTTTTTGAAGACGGTTAAAAAGCAAATAGTATTCTTTGCCAGTTCTTCATGTCAAATCAATAGAACATATTTTAAAAATAACCCAAAGACCCGCGAAATTACTAACAGCTTGCCGATCGGCTAATCGATAATACACTACTATTGTAAGTAATTATATTAATTATACTAGCGGCTCACCCTGTCTTCGCTGGGGTTCGTCGCTAGGGACGTTTTAAATAGATATTATAAATAATTATTAGCCAGCGTTAGCCATATAATTTTTTTTCGTTAATTTTTCTGATGTCTTAATACTTATTATTCTAATCCGGACTAAATAAGAGAAATCCAAAAAATCAAATGTCATAAAAATTGGTCTAGCCGTTCTTGAGTTATAAATAGTGTAACTAACACGATTTTATTTTATATATTTATTTAACTCATTTTATATTTTTTCTCTTTATTAAAACTTTCCGTGTACGTGAACATACGAAAAAAAATTAGCTGTATTGTTCGAGCCGTTCTCGAGTTTTTCTCTTAGCAACATTCATTTTTATTTACATAGATTATGGAATAATCAAACAGGATATCTTAATGATCGTTACCAATCAAGAGCAATTTTAACGTATGTTAACTAGGCCTATAGTTATCTACTACCTGCTAAGCGGTAATCTGTTCAGAGTTAGCTACGGCTTGGGAAACTAATGATTAAGTTAGATTAATTGACGTAATTAAACGTCTTGCGTAAATGTTACAGCAACAAATGAAAAAAAAATCGATAAAATATATCAAAACTCACTAATTAGGATCTAAGAAATTAGAGAGTGTTTACTTTTTAAAGGGCTTAAAAATAAAACATCAATTTAAATGCTAATGGGCGGCTGGTACGGACAAGTGAGTGACGAGGGCGAAACTTCACTGCCCTACACCCTAAGCGATCCCAGGAGGTATTAAGGCATTATTCTTCTTTAAGCAATTATATTTAAAGCTCATCTTCAAAGAATCATCTGACCTCATTACAGGAAACTTAAGTGAATCAAGTCGTTTCGCAAAAAATTAAGCATTTCCTTTTTCTTTAAGATTTTTGTGCTATTCTGAAGTAGATCGCGTAAAAGAACGCTTCACAAATATAACATCAAAAGTAGAAGTATAAGTAGCACTTTACGTGCGTAAACGTTTTCTTAAATATTTTATGATATGTATTAGGGACAAAAATTTTACAGACGAATGTTTTTAGAAACTTGTTTTTTGGTTATTCTAAAGATTCTAAGGCTTATGCAACAGGTCCTTTTAATTGGGACTTCTCTATCAAGAAATTCCCCAGAACAGCTCTCAGTTCAGAAGTTGGTAGTGTTACGCCTCGTTACCTCAGAGAGCACATAAAGTTATCAGTTCTGCACCTGGCCTCTTATCGTCCCATCCAACTTTCAGAGTAAAAAAACGAAAGCGTACTCGTGTTTGCCCACTTACTTGTGTAATAAAATATCTCCTGCGTACTACGATATTTTTAGTGAGTTTGGTCGCCATGCAAGAAATTTACAATTTACATTTTTAAATGTTGATATTAATACGTTTTTTTACCACTAATAGTGTAGTATAGTATAGGTATCTTATTCTCATAAGGTAAATGCCGATTATTAGTAATTGTAAAGACGTGTTCATGAATTAATTAGCCTATTCAAATATTTCAGACCCAATATTTATATAGGCTACATGTTTTAATCATGAACCTTTGGTTACCAAAACATATTCTAACATTTAAAAAAGTGAAATAAAGTTTTAAGACTGAATAATTAAAATATTATACTAAAGTTAAGTTAAGATAATCAAAAATTTAATTTGAATATAATATGTATAATCATAAGTAAACATTACATTCTGTGGTTTCTAGCATATTCTTTGCGGGTTTTTAAGAAGGCTATTGTAAGTCTTCTTCACTCTTTTCGTTCTATCGCTAGAGCCAAGGTAGCGCGTTCTAGAAGAGTTAGTTAAATTGTGTGATAAGAATGTCATTATTGGTGTTGTATTTAAAATATTGAATACTTACATATAAATTATTGGCATTTTGTGGATAATCATCGGTCAACATTTAAAAAAATCAGATAATCATAAAAAAATCTAGTCTAAAATCAGTAGTTTTTCATTCGTACCATTTATTGGAAAAAGATTTATATCAAAACCGTCCAGCGTAAACCATGAAAAAACGACAAAAATATTGTGTGTTGAACTTGTAGCTTCTCTATTGGAGCTTTCTAAATAATTTTAAACTCAAGTAACTTTAAGTTACTATTGCATAGATGGAATAGAAAATATCCTTGGGGTTTAGACTAGTTAATAATTGAAGAATAGTAATTTCAATACAATTTTTAAAATTTATTTGCTTGCGTTGTTAGGCTGACATCTATACACATAATAAAACTGTAGAGGTCGAATGTCTGTACATAGAAAAAAAATGCTAAAAACCAAGTCAGGGGGATATAAGAAGAGAAATATAACAAAACCAGATTTATTCATTTTTTTATTGAGAAATACAAAAAGGCAGACAGAGATATCTGCATTTTTGTACGGGCTAATTCCCGAAACTGTTAGACCGATTTAAATGAAATTATGCATGGTGGTACCTTATATCCCCGGTTAAAATTTAAAATACTTTTCATCCCGGGAAATTAAAGTCCCCGTGAGATGGTTAAAAAAATAAAGTAACTTATACAGCTTAGTACACAAAAACTACTGATTGAATTTTAATAAAACTTTACAATAATATAGTTCATACATCACAATTACAAGAAGGCTACTCTTTATCCCGGAAAAGTGTACGTTTTCCCGTGGGATAGATTTGTTTTTGTTCGCCTAGAGTCGAACCCGAGCATAGCGAGGGTGAACCGCTGGTCTTGTATAAGTCCCTTGCTACTTTATTTATTTTTAAATATCAAACGTAAATTATTTATATATTTTCTATATGTAAACATTTCAGACCCAACACTCTCATTTTCAGAAAAGGTCCTAAAACTAATTTTAAAGTTTCTAACATCAATATTAATAATAGAACTTTCGACTCTAGTATAAGCTATCATCGCCTATCACGAAACTCTTCTTGTTTACGATACAATTTAAAATTTAATATACCTAGTATTTATTTAAAACCGAAAATAATCAATAATATGAACTCAATATTAGAAGAATTATGTTTTTTTTTATTGAGCGAAATTATGACAGTAATTTTGTCAACAATGTTCTGCCCTTTTCAAACACATTGTAATTTCTTACTTACCTCGTTGTTCTAAGGCTAGATATATTTCGCTACAGATCTTGAATCCTTGATACGAGTCCCGGTTCCAAGGATAAAAAATAAGGTCAAAATTCTTAGTCCGGAGTTGGGAAATTAGCGGTGTTACTTGCCCGTACACTGGAAAGCACGTAAAGTTAGTGCTATTGCGCCTGATCTCCGGTCTTGAACTGTCAATCCAGCGAACTTTAAGAACTAATGAAATATTGCATTTAAGTTTGCCAGCGCACTTATGAACAATATTATCTCCTTGAAAATAGATAGTATCTTTGTGATAGGTGACAGTGGCTGAAAGCAGCCCCAAGAATTAGAGTTCCACTTTTTCCTAGTTATGGTTTGATAGCTGTATTGAATTCATAAAGAATACTTTACAAATGCTATTTTTAAAATAGACCGAGCTATAACGTTTATTGAGCAAAACTATGATATATGATAAACGAGAATATTTTGCAAATGTAATTGTGTGGGATTACTATTAGTTGACACTCACGAATATAAAGAAATATTATATTTAAAAAGATCAACTGTTGAATTTCTCGCCAGCTCTTCTGAGCAGAACTGCTTACCTCATGGACTTACAAAATGACATATAATTTAAATTTTAAATGTAAAGTTGACGATTCAAAATTCTGTTTCAATATATTTTGATTTGATTTTGAACGTAACAATTCGCTTGGATATTGTATCATATAATCAGTGTAGCAATTTCACACTTTCAAGCCATTGGTTTTTTGTACGATTGAATGCAGTTAATTGCATAATAATTAAATGTATTCAGTCAATAAAGTTATCATTAAATTCATTAATCAGACAATTACTTCACTTCGTATTCTCATTACGTTATACTAAAGGTATAATTTTAAATCGAAGTTGTAGAGTAAAATTTTAATTAAATATTTTCTTTGTTTGAAAATTAAGTGAAATTCTTTATTAATTTTCAGATTTAATATTATATAATAGTTAATATAATAGCCTTAATTATGACGCTTTTGTTTGCGTTCAAAGTACACGTAAAATGTTGTTATCTTCAATAATTTGTTATAGAGGAATCAAAGAGGATATACTCAAACACATACAAAGAGATACATTTATATTGACTTGTTTCTTATCAGTTGTTCTTTATGTATTAAAATTATCCGATGCAAGAAGAAAATAGAATTTGTACATCAAAAAATACTAGCAGTCATCCATCAATAGTTAAAATCGCAATTTTATTCCATGATCAACCAGAAAATTGAATTGAATTGGACATATAACGTATATTACGCCAAATTAATTATAATTTCTGTTATTGTTAGCCCACATTATTCCACTGCTGGGCATAGCCCTCCATCGTATGTTTCCAAGTTTTGCGGTCTTGCACAAGAATAGGTCAGTTTGGATCGAACTTGTCCACTACATCTCGATAGTTCGTAGTCTGCCGCGACGACACCTCCCTGTCCCAGGGCTCCAGTTTTTGGTTACTTTGGCCCATAGTTCTGCAGACATTCGGCAGACATGGCCAGCTCAGCCCAATTTAAGTTTTCTGGCTTATTGAGCGATTTCAGTGACTTGTGTTATGGTGCGTAGTAACGCGTTTCGAAATTTATCAGGTAATTTAACGCCTAAAATGGAGCGTATTGATTGCATGTTGGCAAAATTCTGAGTTTTGACATCTGAGTTTTTGTCAAAAACTTAGTCTGAGCTCCGTATGTCAATATGGGAAGTATGTACATGTCCATAAGTTGTCGCTTTAGGGTCAATAGAAGGTCACCCTTCATAAGATCTTTCATGGACCAGTAGCTCCTCCAAGCATTTTCAATCCTTCTTGACAAGTCTTTGTATCTGTAATGTTAATTCCAATAAATAATATAAATGTAAAGTTATAAGTAAATTGTATTCATACCATTATAATAATTTAAAGTTATGTCTATAAATAATGAGAACCAAAATGTCATGAAGTAGATGCTATATCCTTAAATACTTATTTAACTTATATGTCGCCCGTATACGATAGCCAGGATAATATAAGAGACGAAACATGGGAGATAAAAAAACATAAGAATGCTTAAAGTATGCACGTCTGTATTAAAAATAACGGATAAACATACATTTATCTCATGTATAAATAGTAATACTATATTACATATGGTACATTTGGACCAGTAAATATCTTGCCTACTACACTGGATATATGTAGATCACTGATTCGATTATTATCATATTAGTAAATGTTAGAAATAACTTTTGTAGTGACTTGCTCCGATAAATACATACTATATTTTTAACACGCCTTTATTAATTCTACTTGTAATTACTAATCTACTATATTTAAACGAGTAATTCTTGTGTATATATATAATATAATCTGAATCTCGAAAACAGCTCCAACCATTTTCATGTTTAGTATATAGCGGGTTTCGGGGGCGATAAATCGATCTAGATTAGTTTTATGTCTGGGAAAACGCGTGTTTTCGAGTTTTCATGCGGTTATATTTCGCATTATTCCCACCACAACTTACTTAACCACAGGTGTCCGGGTTCGTATCCCGTTCGGATACAAAGTTCTTACTTTTGTTTTTTTTGTATTTATTCAATTTTTTTTAATGTTTTTTTGACCAACAATCCCGAGCGAATCATTTCCAACATGATTACACTCATCTTACAGTGAAAACAAAAACATCGTGAGGAAACCTGCATGTCTCAGAGAACCTAGCAAGTTTTCGAAAGACATGTGAAGCCCGCTAACTCGCACTTGGCCAGCGTGGTGGACTAAGGGCAAATCACCCTTGTAATAAAGGGAGGCTCGTGCCCAGCAGTGGCAGATTAAAAAAGAGCTGAATACAAACAACTATATCATCAAGCTGACCTAATGAAGGATCCAAGAAGCTACTAATTTGGAATCATTTTATTCGTTTTAATAACTTTATATTACTCTCGTCTAGTTTTGTCTAAGCCTCTTACAATTATATTTCTTAATGCTGTTTTAGTGTTAGAAGATTTGCATTTTAAGCGTTTTGGTTAACTTATTTTTTAGTCAAACATTAGCAATTTTTGGTATCGCTAGACTTGTGGATGCCAGCGCCGGGTGCATTGTTTACAAACTCTAACGAAGCAAAGGCACCGAAACGTGCGTATGAATAAAGCAGAGTCGAAAAATGTGGGCTT